TTTTTAATAGATAAAATATTTTAAAAAAATATACTTGTATATATTGCAAAGTTCTCCATAGTGGCTTCAAATTTTCCGTAGTTACACAAAATTGATGATCATGATTAGTCCAAATCATATGATCTTCATATGATTTATATAAATAATTTATAATATCTAATTTTTAAACATATGTATCTCAATCAATTTTTAACCAATTTTAATAAATTTACTATCATTAGAATTAGAAAAACATATTCTACAATTTTTAATTAATATTTAAAGACTATTTAATTAAGAAAATATTTTTCTATTTTTAATTAAATAAAAATTTACCAAAAGTTTTATATATAATTTGAAAATCGTATACTCTACCCTTAAATTAAATCAAATAATAATTTCAAAATTTCGTAAATTCCATCAACAATGATAAATTATTTCGTCACATTAATTTAATTCACCAGCACTTTTATAAGTTAGAATGGGTAAAAATTTCTACAAGGTTACTGTTCTTCGTCATACTTATTTAATAGCTTCGCCTGCACTATAATTACAAATCATCGCAAGAATTTTTTGAGTGTAAGTTATCCGATTTCTGTTCAAACGCGTGTAGAATAAAACACGGCTCAAATTTTCCCCAAGGTTATAATATAGGTAATACATCTTAAAAAATTTCTGAAAAAATATTTTTTTTTTTGCAGATGATATATTTTTTCATGATTTCTTCAATTCTCAAGAATTAAAGGAAATTTTTGCGTTCTAACGAAATAATACGCATACATGCATGAAATAGAAATATATTGGTTGTAGGAAAAAAAATGAGAATTGACTAAATTTTTTTTAAAAAATAACATTAGAAATAGAATACTAATAATGGTTTCTTTTTTCTTTTTTTTTTTTTTTTTGAGAATGTGACTAACGGGAATAATTTGCTAATAATTAATTGGTTGAATTAATTGATTTCACAAAAAAAGAAAAAAAAAACTATGCAAGTGGCATTATAATACTTTTTAATATCAGTGAATTTTTTGTACACAATAGTAGTTTTAGGTTTAAGGGAATAAATAAGCAATAAACGCAAAATTAATACTCTAGTGACAAATAAAATTAGAAATACAATTCAACCGCACCTTTTTTAACAAATGATTCAAGACATAGGCAGGAAAAAATAAACATAGTCCATATTAGATACCAGAACACCTTTTAACATTTTTCTCAAGATTCTTCTTCATCTTCCTCCATGATTACTGAAGGCTTTGTTGTGTTTAGGTTTTTTCTCCGTGCCATTGGACTGCTTAAGGTACTACCCGAACTCGTATAAACGCGTCGTGAATTTGGTGTATTATTATTGTTGTGTAAAAACAGCAGCTGTGCATTATTGAGTCCATTTGGTGGCGAGGGCGAAGAACCTCTTTCGGAAGTTTCATTACGCGAAGTAACATCCACCTTACTATTCCCTATGTTGCTTCCAATAGTCGGTGAAGAATGTGAACGGCTATGATGCAATAGACGTAACTGTGAAGATTTGGTTATATGCGTATGTGGAGCTGTTGACGATGAAGAAGGCGTTATTGTCGGTGACGTTAATTTCGGTGATTCTGGTGGTGTGGACATAAAATCTATTACTGATTGTGCAAGTGCTTGTGACTTCTCGATAGGAGGAATATAAACGTCCCTCTGTTTCCCTCCTGATCCTGAAGTTAGTGAAGTGGGTAATGAGATAAGACGTTGGTGCCCTTTTCTTGGCAGCGTAGGTGAAGCTTCAGAATTGCTATCGGCTGGGGATAAAGGTGGAGAGACTGGTATTTGCGATATTATAGAAGTAGAATTGGAATTATGGAATAGGGTGTAAGGAAAAGTAAGTGGATTTATGATAGTTCCGTAGGGTTTAAGTATAGGTGAATCATTGGATAATGGGGATGCAGCAGTAAAAGGTGATGGTGATGGCGTACGGGATCGTGGGTGAGATGCAATTTCACTTGAAGCATCAATAAATATATCAGATTCCTCACCGTCATCACTCGAAGTCACATCTTCTCGTATTTTAAGTGACGATTCATCTACTTTTTGTAAATCTATTTTCTTCTGCTTAGACATCGACTGTTCAGAGTCGTTATTTTGTATTAGTGGTAGTGGTGGTGTAGGAGGTGGTGATGCTAATGTAATTGTTTTTGATTTTGAAGATTCTACTATTATACTATGTCCATCTATAGTTAAAGTATCATTTTTTACAGTATCATCAGAAATGTTCTCTATCGCACTTGTCTCAAAAGTGTCCTTATCCTGATGATTATTAGCATTCTCAGATGAGCCAGATCCAGATCCAACTTCAGCATCAAAATTTTCCTGTATGCTGTTAATTGAACTTCCTCCTATACTTCGTCGCTTCACTTGTTTACGTCCCCATGAATTTCCTGTATAAGCAAATGGGTTCCTACGATTAATGGTAAACATGGTTTTATGTCTAACCGCTGGTGGTGTTCCAGGGATGGGTGACATACCGATTGGAGAATTATGAGAAAGAACAACAGAAGGCGTAACAGGAGGAATAGTCAAGGGTGCAGTACTTGAACGACGACCTTTGTTACCCTGAAAAGAATTTCGATTCTTCTTTTTTCTATCTTTTATTGACCCACCACGTGATATAGAAGACGACCTTCTTCGAATATTGATACTGCCAGTACTATCATACGATAGTGGTGTTTTACCATCATTCCTCTTGTTAATACGCATTTGTGAACGTGCAACATCAGCAGGAACCACTATTCCACTTTCAGTCCAATTCAACATGTTTTTTTTATAGGCACTACTCGAATCTTTATGGTTCTGTTGAGTAGATCCACCCAACCACCCCTTTATCGTTGATAATATACTTTTCTTTCTATTATCTTTATTATTAGGTAGCTGTATTGTTATTGGGGTGACTGATATATGCGGTATAGGACTTACTGACCGTGAACTTAATGGACTAGTGAAAGATGAAAATTTTTTAGGTGACAAAGGGGGTGATGCTGTCGCAGTAATTGCTGTCAAAACAGGTTCAACCGCCTCCGGCACTGAAAGGATCAAAGACTTCCGTCTTTCACGCGAAGCTGGAGCTGTGTGATACGTTTTCGGTGGTGGTGTAGGTGGTAACATCTTTTCCGGAACTTTCATAGAATTTTCAGCTATTATTTCATGACAATCATCTTCCTGAGATGACCTGTTACTATCTACAGGCGAGTCCATGCTATCAGGTTCTTCCTCAATATCATCTGCAATTTCTAATTCATCACCGCTAGTACCAACAGCAACGTCTACCATTGTTACTGAGCTTGGTGCACCTTCAATCTTTCTTTTTTCTCTTAGTTTTGTTAATAAAAGCCACCAAAATCCACTAGCAGAGTCTACTTTACCTTCTAAAACACTAGATTTTATAGCTTGGACATCAAACCCCAAGCCTTCAAGTTTATCTAATAATTCTTTTTCTTCAGGAGTCGTAAAAAAAATCTTTTCATTAAAAGTCTTACTATCAATTGAGGATCTTCGAGATGATTTTGAAGTTGAAGGACCAAAAGTTTTCCGCGATGTAGAACAACTATTTATCGCAGTTGTCATTCCTGTTAATCGTGATTGAAATGCAGAAGGTGCAACTGAAGCTACATCATTCCCTTTGTTGCGAATAAATCCCGTTGGATAATAATTTTGTGTATCTTGTTTTTTCTTTGCCAAAAAAATTTCTTGTCGTTGACGTTCAAGATGACCAATCGCGTCATTATTATTTCCCGATTGTATTATTGTTGCTTGTTTCATAGATTCCTTTTCATTTTTCTCTTCGATAGATGATAGAGATTCGTCATCATTTACGTCCTCGTATGTATCCCACTGGTCATCATCATCATCGTCATCATCGTCATCGTCATCATCGTCGTCTTTTACCGTAAACCACGCATGTTGTAAAATCTGTTTTAACGTTGGTCGTTCTTTTGGTTCAAGCTGTAATATTGACTTTATAAGGTCTTTAGCCTCTAATATTAATAATTGTATGGCACAATAACAATGTATCATAAATCATAAAATCCAAATTATGATTAATGCATTTTTTTTTTTTTAATTACCAAAAAAACATAAAATAAATAATAGATTTATTACCATCTGATAAAAATTCTTCCATTTCATATTCGCCTTTCACTATTTTTAATTTCATTTCATTTTCATCATCATCATCAAAGGGAAGAGAACCACAAAGTAAAGTATATAGAATAACTCCCAGCGACCACACGTCGATTTCTATAATCAGGGAAATATTGATGAATCACTAAGCAGGTCTTATTAATAAATATAAATTGTTAACGCCGAAATATTTATTTACCTAAACCAGAATATTTTTTACCAGTAAGCATCTCTAAAATATCATAAAAAAGTAAATGATTAATTCATGTCAATTAGTCATATACGTTCATAATCGAAATTTATATTATGTAATTATTTGTAATCCACATGTTTATATTTTATCTACTTATTTACATGGAAATTTTCATTAACCATACCCCCGAAATTGACCGTAAAAAAATATACCACATGCCTGGAGCGGAATATCCCGTTGAACCGCAAATCGTTTCTAATAATTTTTTGCTTTCATACTCTCTTGTAAATCCAAAATCACCTAATTTTATATTTCTGTGAGCATCCAGAAGAATGTTTTCTAGTTTAAGATCTCTACAAAGTGCATCATGATAATGATCGATAATGGAAAATAAAAATCAATAAACTGAAAACATATAATTAATAAAATCAGGGATTTGTTTCCAATTTCTAAGATTTACCTATGAACAACTCTTCTGTCATGACAGTATTTAACTGCTCGACATAATTGGCCAAACATTTTTCTGGCTAAGTTTTCCTTTAGGCGTTTTCGATTAACTAAAAAATCAAATAGTTCACCCCCTTCACAATATTCCAGTACCATATAAATTTTATTTTCAGTGGGTATAACTTCGAATAGGGAAATGATATTAGGATGATGTAAATAACGATGATGATGTATTTCGCGAGTTAAATTTTCCGCGTGAATTTTAGGTATTATTTTTATGGCGACCTGAATGAAAACAGAATTACTCATAAGTGAATTCGCAAGAAGAGATATGAACCGAAAATGAAAACGGTACTTTTTGACCAGTCAGCTTGTGAGTTGCTAGTTTTACTTTTCCATATGTTCCTGATTAATTAACATTACTTTTTAATTTTAAGAGGGTATAATAATAAAATAAAACAGAAATTTGATATCGTTCTTACCTTCACCGATCGTATCTTCTAGGATATAATTACCCACAGACTTTATGTCTTGTGTTGATAATTCTTTTAATAAATCTTGGTAATCAGCGACAAGCTAAGGTTTAAGACATGACCGAAGAAAATTGAATAAAATTAGTAATATGATCTGTGAAAAAGTAGGTGGACCAAGACATAAATACCTTTGCTTTCTGATTGTTTTTTGTCAACATTCGCGTCCCATAAGGCATATGCATGTCGTCCAGCAACGTTGATTATGATAAATGGGAGTACGTTCGCATATAATTTATTATCAGAATATTGAAGGCAATATATATAAAAAAAAAAATAATATTTATGTTTATACACAAGCGGACAAAGGGTTATATTGTTTTTTCTATGCGCACAAAAAATAATTCTCCGAGCAGGTCCGCGGTTGTTCAAAAGCACCTTGCTAACCAAAATCTAAATCAACGCAAGGTTTCTAAAAAGCGATGAAGCCGAAAAGTTAATTATAATATAAATATGTATTTGTATATACCAGACGGCGCCTCGAAAGAGACAAATTATGCGGCAAAATAAAAGGGATGAAGGGAAAACAAAGGAAGAGCTATGCAAGAAAAAAAAATAAAGAACGAAAATATAGTTGGGGAGGAAGCGAAAATTTGAAACGGGCGGGAAGGTAAAGCTTGTTTGTCCCGACTCTTTTTTTTTTTTTGCAAATGGGGCTCTTCTCGGGGCGCCTGAATATTTTTTTATTTTTTTATTTTTTTGCTCGTTGGGGGTAAAAGGGAGGAACCGTGAATTTTGAGGGTGCCAGAAAAAAGTCTTTTTCATTTTTTTGCCTATTATACCTATTTAGCTCTGAATTTGGCATTGTGATGGTCATCAAAATTAGGCATTCAGATATCGTACATACCTCAAAGAAATATTACCTTACTCATCAGCCTTTCTCTAATTTAATTATTCTTTTAATGTATATCTAATAATAATATAGCATTCAGAGCATTTAGAGACTCTTGCCATTCAAATATGGTCAAAAAAAATTTTTTTCCAAGTAAAATAACGAATAAGCTCGAGAAAGCCGAGGTGATACCTTTATATAAATGAGATAATGTGTACCTTTAAAAAGGTATTTAATATCAAAAATTATCAATTGTGATTGAAAATTGTCGAGTACAATGGGATTTTATAATCGAATGTATTCGAATTGAAAAACGGTTCCTTCAGTGTATTAAATATAAATAAATGAAAAAGATGTGGCCTTTTATGAAAAAAAGGCCCGGTATTATGCTAATAGTAAATTAAAAAAGGGGTTGATCAAGAAGGGACCTAAGAATGGTTAAGAACAAATCAATATTACATGCATCCTAATCGCAAACTACCCGGTAACAAGTGTGAATTGTTCATCGTTATTTGTTAAAGCTTCGCTACGGTTTTCCACTTGCGTATCAATGCGGCTAAATCACGCAAAGAATTGGTGAATGAAATAATGGAACACAAATCTCATATTTGTTCTCCACTTGAATATCATGCAGATCAATAATGATATATTTCAATCAAAATCTTGGATACGCAAAATGTAGGTAACAAACATTTATAACAAAAAAAGGCTATCGGGCATGCCTCAGTTTTACATTATGAAAACTTAAAGCGGCTTTCGACAAGTAATGAATGATTGGCTTCAATATCTCGTATTGTAGTAATATTAGAATCTTATCCCAGAAACATCTTGCGGAAAAGTAGAAAAAATAAGTTGATGAACGAAGAACGATACCAGAAGAGAAGGAAACCAATCGCCGACCTAGTTTTTAAAAAAATTCATTTCCAATAGGGGAATAAATGCTACAATCGAAGATCCCACGTGGATGTGCATTGAACATCTTTGTCGTCTTTCAGTCTTTTCATATAAATGTATGGATGCTTCCCACGCCAAACTATACAACTTTGGGGTATTTTCGTTGGGTCATTTTTCAAAACGAGAGCTGTGCAATATTTACAAATAAAAAATCTTGTTCAGCTTATGTCACTTTACGTAAGGGTTACAAATATGGCAAAACTTGGTGGTATGTGTGTTCAAATTGCTCTACCTTTCCTGTCAACATTCACAATATCGCATGATTATCTCGAGTATACATGCAAGGCGAACTTATCTTTTGCCACGCAGGCATTCTCGAGCGTGGATTAAGATGCAAGAATTTCTTTATTCCCTAACAAAGAAAAAAAAATACGGGAACGAGTTATAACCATTGTGTCACCCCATTTATATCAGAATATAGAGAAAACACAATGTAATAAAGGATCACTAACTTTTCAAGGAAATCGGCGTAATTCTTGTAATTAATTCAATTTGACGTCAGTCATTCCTAATTTATGCATTTATACCGCATTGTAGACAAAAATAAGTCTCGGTGATCTTCAAAGTCTTTACAAATAACGACAAATAAAATAATCAAAAACTAGGATAGATAGACGTACGTACGTAAAGAAAAAAAACAATGCAATGTTCCAGAAATCGCATTATATTGCATGAATTTGCTTATCCTCTAACTACCTAGTAACTTGACACGTTCTTCATTTCAATATATGCAAGACCTTTTCTTTTATGTCATCAAGTCCCTTTGTTCCTCTCCACAAAACAAATAAGTTTATCTTGGTGTGCATTTTTGTGCATATTGTGCGTCAATGTACAAATTAATTAGGCTAAGTTTTAGTAAATCATAAATTGGGTAACTTTGATAACTTGATTTTGGAAAATGCCTATTGTAAATTAAAATCCTATAATTAGCGATTTCAAATCATGAATTCAATACGCCATTAAACCATGTGACTGTTTTGATATGGCTAGCAAAAGTATCAATTTTTGATACTCCCTAAATTTGAGTGGCGTTCTTGATGCATTTTACTCTCATTAAATTATCTTTTTTCGCAAATATATCTCGATGACCGCCTAAAAGTTTTTTCTTATTTTGATTTTTTAGTTCTGTAGAATCAAAAAAATATATATATCATCGAATTTGAATGGACGGTTGTTGAGATATCTTTCCTCAAAGTTTTATAAAAATTTCGCTATGGCAGCTATTTTGATAGACATTTTAATATTTTCAAAACTTTGAGCGAAGATATCTCAGCAACCATCTAGCCAAATTCGATGAGGTTTTTTTATTTTGTTCTACGGAACTTTAGAAACAAAGTAAAAAATAAAAATATTGGATTTGAATGTGCAGTTGCCGAGATATCTTCGCTCAAAGTTTTATAAAAACTTTGAGCGAAAATATCTCTGCAGCTACCTAGTCAAATTCGAATAATTTTTTTTATAGACGTTTTTAACATTTTTAAACTTTGAGCGAAGATATCTCAGCAACCATCTAGTAAAAATTGATGATTTTTTTATTTATTTTGATTTTATGAAGTTAAATAAAAATTATCGAATTTGGTTGGGTGATTGCTGAGATATTTTAATAGATTTTTAGATGTTTTGGTGTTTTCAAAACTTTATCTTAGTGAGAACTATATCGATATCTTCCACCAAAATGTTGCAGTCACGTGAGGACAGAAAATTCTTTAAAGTTCGTTTAGGTTAGGGTTAGGACCTATGCTAATCTTAAAATTAAAGAATGTTTAAAAGTAAAATCGTTCAAGGAAAACTTTTTGCTAGAGCACTATAGGTGGTTTATTATACTGCGTTTTGAGAAATAAACGATTTTTGACAAAACAAAGTTTTCTGCCAAAATTTCACCTGCACGTGATTATGACCCAATCATATTTCAAGATTATGTGTAACGTTGCACGATTTGGAAACTTAAAACAAATATTTGTTTGTAAAAAAATAGCATATGTAACTACTTTTGCACACTAACAAAAAGTTTTCTTTAAGCAATTTTACATATACTATTCTAATATATATGATTTTAAAATTTTTATTGTATTTTATATGATTATCAGTGTTGTCACGTTTACTATGTTTGTTCTATTGGCTTCTAATTTTATTCATTTTTTTCATTTTTCTATTGTAAATTTTTACTATTAAATTTTACTAATTAAATATAAAAATTTTTTAAATTTATTATTTTACTAATGGTCTAACAATATATATTTAAATAATTGCAATTTATTAATAAAAAAAAAATTTTTTTATATAAATGCAAAAAATTAAGCTTTTGTTTTATTGTTCTATTTGCCAATACTGATGATTATGTATGGGTAGAATTTTGATAATAATATAGAGAAAAATATATATATATATTTTTTTTAGTGTTAAGGTGAAAGAAAAATATTTTAATTAATACTAAGATAGTAATATTATATAAAAAATTTAAAACAAATGTTTGTTTTTTTTTGATTTGTTCTTTTTTTCTTAAGCAGTTATGCTAGTACTTTATTAAAATTTTGAAATTACATTTGCAATTACATAAATATTCTTAACCTAAGTTTAGCATTACCTAATCACCCAAATAGTACTTAAATGCAACTTGCTATATTATTTCAAACAAAAGTAAGTCACTCATTTGATTATTTAAAGTTCATAATGAAAGGGTTTTTTTCTTTCATAGCAAGTTTCAAAATTGTCTTCTGTACTTCTTTTTCAATTTGGTTCTTTTTTTTATTCATCTTTTTTTTTCTTTTTTCTATTTTTTTTTTATTTAGTTTTTTTTTTGTTTGGTACTATTCTCTTCTTTTTCTTTTTCTTTTTCTTTTTCATTCTATTCATTATTTTTTTATTTTTCTTCCAATCATTAATTTTTTTATATTGGATTTTTTATATTTGTTCATAAAAGTATCTTAGATTATTTTTGCTATTATATTCATAAACTGTTGCCTTGATTTTATACTTAAAAGATGCTTCAATCTGTTTTGTTTCTTTTAGAATAAAATCTTTAACTAATATTTCTTTTATTTTAATCTTCTCTGTTTCTATTTTTTTAAAAAAAGCTGTATATAATATATATAAAGAGATCTGAACTTTTTTATCTCTTTTCAACTTCTTTTAGACTATTGTGATAGTTATTTTTTGGATTTTTTTTAAAGATTTCTTTGTTTCTTGCATGCTGTCAAATGTACTTATGTTTATTTTATCCTAACAAACTTGGTATTCTGTTGTTATATATATATCTGGTTTTCTTTTATTAAGTTCTTTTAATATTGGTAGTTTATCTATTATATATTTTTTAAATATACTTCTTCTGGCACTACTTCTTTTTGTTATACAGTGTACTTCTTTAGTTATTTTTAGTCTTTTTCAAAAATATGTTCAATT